TTTTTTGTATAGTCCTTCTGTGTATTCTTGCCACCTCTTCTTAATATCTTTTGTTAGGTGCATACCATTTCTGTCCTTTACTGAGCCCATCTTTGCATGAAATTTTCCCTTGGTATCTCTAATTTTCTTGAAGAGATCTCCAGTCTTTCCCACTCTGTTGTTTTCCTCTATTTCTTTGTGTATAAATAAAGCCTTTATAAACACCCAAAATGGGACTTCCCTAGTGGCTCTGTGGTAAAGAATCTGCCTGCTACTGCAGCTGCAGGCGTGGGTTCAATCCCTGAGTCAGGAAGATCTCCTGGAGAAGGAAATGGCAACCCACTGTAGTATTCTAGTATTCTTGACTGGGAAATCTCATGGACAGAGGAACCTGGAAGGCCAGAGTACATGGGTCACAAAGAGTCGGACATGACTGAGTGACTGATTAACCACAACAGCAAAACACTCAAAAGGATTGGGTTTAGAGAGCTTCTGGTTTCGTAAACACATGGAGATTTGGAGAGAGTGACACCCTTTCAGAGAGTATGGAGGCTCCCTTCACCATACCTTGCCCTACACATCTCATTCATGAGGATTTTTATCTGTATCCTATATTACATCCTTTCATAATAAACCAGTAATCTAGTACATGAGTTCTGTGAAATGCTCTAGTAAATTAATCCTAAGAGGAGGAACCCCTGATTCATAGCCAGTCATTCAGAAGTACAGAAATACCAAAAATATGGGCTTGGGGTTGAAGCAGTAGAGCGGTTAGGCTAAGACCTGTGGCATCTGATGCTGTCTCTGGCTATATGGTGTCAGAGTTGAACTCTCGAACTTCCTGCAGATGTCCAAGGATTGCTTGTTCTCTTTCCCAGAACACTCATTTAAAATCACTCCAGACTTCCACTCATAAGTGAAAAGTGATTTGAAAAGATAGATCCTTCATTGTGTTGCTGAAAAATAGAACAGAACCTACGGCGCTCTAAGAAAAAGCGGAGCAGGAGATTGTCAGTGTGGTTTTACATTTAGCATTCTTCACTGGGAACCAGAGCAAAGCAGAAAGGCATCTGTCATCAAATGTTGCAAAGGCCACTGCCCTAGTTAAACCGCTGTGAACTGGGGCACTTGAGTCTCGGTAATTCGGGACTTTTATTTTCAGCACATGTCCCCATTCATTCCTGTGGAAATGAAGGCCATCTCTTGACTCCAAATGTGCCATTTAACTTTTACACATAACCTGCAACTTTCATTCAACGAGTGAAAACAAAAAAGTGAAAAATGTTACATTCTCAGATAAAGGAAATTGAAAGCATTTGAGCAAAAGGGAAAAAGTTTTTTAGGGTTTATTCCACCAAAGTAAAGTGGGTTTCTCCCTGTAGCTCAGACGGTAGATAATCTGCCTGCAATGTAGGAGACCCAGGTTCAATCTCTGGGTGGGGAAGATCCCCTGGAGAAGGGAATGACAACCCATTCCAGCATTCTTACCTGGAGAATTCCATGGACAGAGGAGCCTCGAGGGGCTATAGTCGATGGGATCGCAGAGTTGGACAAGACTGAGCGACTAACACTTATTTATTCAACCAAAAAGATGTATTTCTAGTCGTGTACCCTAAGTGCCTTTCACTTTATCTTCTGTAACGCATCCTACTGACCATAAACAGCACTATTAACAAAGGAAAATGTCTCCAATCCATACAAATCCATATAATGCAAACCCTACTTGGAATGAAAGGAAAGCCCTATACTTCATGATACTTTTTTATTCAAATGCCAGCGAGGTCTGACTCTGCATATTATTTCAACTAGAGCTCAGAAATGAACCCAGGAGACATGAAGGAGTCACTTTATTCCTGGTTGACGCCCTCGGCTCTTCTTCTGTCTTATTATTTTATTATTACTCCCCAGCTGGCAAAGGTCTTTGGCTCTTTCTAGTAGTGGCCAAGGTTGAGGGAAAAGGAGGATCTGAGAAGAAGTGGTACACATGTTGGCGCTCATGGGAAAATGCAAAGCAGTTTTTGCTCAGTAATAGGAGGGTTATGCTGTGGTTATAGACACTGGAATTCAGTTCTCCTGATTCAAATCCTGGTTATTGACTGAGTAATCTTGGGCAAGTGATTTGGCCAATCTGTAACTAGTAGCCTCATCTGTAAAACAGAGGTGATAATAAGAAAACTTCTTGGAGTTATGGTGAGCATTAAGGGAGTTAATAATGTAAAGCTTCTAGGTCAACCCATAGTAAGTATTCATAGTTATTTTGTAAATAACAAAATTATGAAAATTTTGTACATGCATTTTCTCATGTATCATTTTTCCAAAATATTTTCATGGAGTTGCCTAGCATTCAACCATCGAGATGAACAAAACTTGATTTAACTTAATGCCTAGTGTAACATATTTTTTGATTGTTTCAATTTTTCACAGTTACTTACACATTTGCTTTTCAGATTAACATTTAAGTCATTGCTGGTTTCCAAGAAAACTACTCCTTGAAATTTTTAAATTGGAATTATATTAAGCCTATACATTTATTTGGAGGACATTATTTTACAAAGTCCAATTTTCTCATCCTGGGATATAGGATATGTCAACATATCTGATCTTTTTAGAAAGTGCCTCTAATATTTTGTAATTATTTTCATAGACACCATTTATATTTATTTTTACATTAATTCTTAGGTATTTTAAAATTCTGCTGTTAGGAACTATTAAATGAATATATTCTTATTTCTTAATGTTGTGAAATATTTAGTATTTTGTTTATGGTTTTTTTTTTACAGATGTTATCATTTTTCATAGTAAAATAATCAAATCTTTTTTGGGTATAACTGTTTTTATGCACAGAAAAACAATGTGAACCTAAATTCTAAATTTAGAGCGACTTTTACCTATAATTTTTTTAAAAATTAAAGTACTTTCTAAAAGGTAAAAAATTAAAATCCATAATATAAATATACCTCTAAGAAATTGATAGGATAATACCATAGAAAAATTATTATCATAAAGTGCATTTTTGCTTCATCTCCCTTAAACAAACAGTGAGTAAGACCATTTTAGTCCAACTAGAAAGAGCAAGAACTTAAGGAAACACCGTGCTTCGTTAACAGAGTCATTTATGAGTTATAAAGTACAGAGTTTAACACTTACCACGGCACTGCTTTCTCCTCTATATGTTTCTCCTTAGCATCCTTCTCATAATGCTGAAACCATCTTGTTTATTCATTGCTTACTTTTTTATTGTCTATTTTTCCCCACCCCCAGGGCAATCTCTATCCAGGCTGCAGCCATTTTTGTCTCCTTCACTATGATCAACACCCACTGCAGAGGAGGAAAATTTTTTCTCTCTTCCCTTCTAGGTTCTTTGGCTGGCCAAACAATTAAGTTAACGTAAGACAGATTAACAGGAGAAAACAAAATTTCATTTCATTCATACAGAAGCCCCAAAGATACAAGACTCAAAAGCAAGTTGAGCAACCGAGGCTTACATGCCAGCCTGAGCTAAGGAAGGGATGGGATCTGCCGCTTCAAAGGGGAGAGGGGCTGTCACAGGCCAGTCACAGGAGCAGGTGCTTGGTAATTACACATGCACACAGGTCTTTCACACATTCACGCATCACACGTTCCCCCTCGTCATCGTCTCCTCTCCCCTCCACACCCAGCCCCTCCACCCGCACAATCAGTGCTCTCCTCTTGACCTATCATTTACATCAGCACAGAAGCATCTTTCAGTGTCTCTTATCTTAAAATAAAAATTCTTTAATTCAACAGCAGTCTCCAATGATGGCCCAGTTCTCTGGCTTTTAAAGGGGGAATGTTGTGCTTATGTAAATATGCATATATGTATATACACAAATGTATAGATACATATGTATAAATATGCATGTAGGTTGATAGATCTGGTGATGGGAAGATGTAATTTTCTTCTAGATGTTTCTTTTTCTTCAATAAAATAAGAAAGGTCATCAACTAACAGAACAGAGTATTAGAGATTTGAGTGGTGAAGAGATTGTTGTTGTTACTGTTTAGTCACTAAGTTGTGTCTGACTCTTTCAACCCCATGGGCTGAGCCTGCCAGGCTCCTCTCATAGGATTTCCAAAGCAAGACTACTGAAGTGGGTTGCTACCTGCTTCTCCAGGGGATCTTCCCAACCCAAGGATTGAAACTGCATCTCCTGCATTGCAGGCAGATGTTTATCACTGAGGCACCAGGAAAGCCCTAGGGAAGAAATTGTTTGAAACAATTATCTCAGAAAGTGAAAAAGTGAATTTAGTAGGGTAATACAGTAGGATTTGAAAGGTAGTACAAAGCAGCCAATTTAAGATATAGTAATATAATAAAGTAGAAACAAGTAGGATTTCCTCCATTCACATTCATCTATTCAGGGAGCAAATGGCAAGCTTACTGACGACATACCTGTTCAAGGGAGAAATTATAGTGATGAACCATGGCGTCTAAACTAAGAAGGAAATGAGGGCTTCAAACTGGTGAATGAATGCATTGTTCAAAGGGAACCAAACAGTTGGGGAAGTAAATGAACAGAGAGACAGGAGATTCAGTTCTCAGGTGAATAAAACTCTAAATAATCCTCCCCTGCAATTCTCCAAAGGTCCTGGACAGTGGGACTTTAACCACTTCTACACAGCTTGAAACGTCATGAAGTTTTCTCAAAAGGCTCAGTGTAGATTTCCTCTACCCAGTCAGCATGTGATTTTACTTACTTACAATTTCTCAGAAATGCATCCATTAAGAAAAATAGAGTCCATCAGTACAACAACTATATATCCTTTTATTTTAAAGTATTTTAAATTGTTTTAATGCACCAACCAAAAAGCAAATCATCATTCAAACCAAGCAGCCTATTAGAGTCCCATCCTTAAGTGCTATTTTGTCTCTCTGCTTATTATTCTCTTTTAACAGCGATAAAAACAGAAATCATATGACCAAATGTGAATGCTAAACCATTTCCAAGATAACCTGAACAGCAAACAAATAGATTCCTGTAATGCCATCTTGAACACGCTTAGAAAATTGTTAAGAGGGCAAACAGTCCATAAAGTAAGGCGCAAGGATAGGCAATGAGAAGCTGCTGTCCTTCCATGGCCAAAGCTGACATGAAGATTTTGGAGGCCGAGAGACTACACCAGCCAATGATGACCAGTGCCGACACAGTTCCGAAGGTGCCCCTGCAGCAGAGACCAACGAGATGGTTATCTACACCAGGAGAGAAAGGGGCTGTGGAATCACAGCTGCCTCTCAAATGTCCTTGGTATATTTCCTCCGTTTGTAAAATGAGGGTGAAGGGTCATAGGAACTAAAGGCCTCAGCCAGTGAGAATTTTGAGTCAAGCTCACCACTAGAAGCTAAATATTTCATAGGTAGGTAAAAACTCAGATGACTGGAAAGAGGATTGACCTGTAGTCACTTTCATAAGTCAAAATTGCAATTACTAAAATTCTTTTATATGAACTATGTTTCGAGACTTCTTTTATAACTACAAATCTTTTTTTATATATAACTACAAATTTCTGTTGCCTGTTTTCTTCCTACATGTACCCACTGTGTGAGCAGAAAAATGACTGACTTGAATTCCAGCGGGGTTCCCACCCCCCAGTGAGCCAGGGCCGTGTCCTGGGTTGTTGTCTGAGATGGCAAACCCAGACACAGCTCAGGGAGGGGACAGATGGAGCAGGAAGGCACAGATGTGTGTGGCCTCCCAACTCATTGCTGAAGATTCCTTTGGGTGGCGTGGGTGTAGACTTTTATTATATTGAAATGGATTTGTTCAAATTGGTATCTTCAGAAAGTAACTGTGGAGGCAATTGGTTCTTTAGGAAGAAATGAGAATGAAGTGACTTGACAAAAACTGCAAGTAAGATGGGCATTAAGTCAAGAGCTGCTAACTCCCAGCATATTGTTCTGTTTGCCATCCAACTACACTGCCTCACTTGATCTGGTTGAATTTGAAATTGAGAATTGTGCTTATTATTTATGAGAATGACAGAAATACCTACTCTTAATAGTTGAACCAAAGCAAGACAAGTGAAAAGGTACACTGTGTACTTTGCAATGGCTTAGATTATAAATAAACCAAACATATTTTAAATCACTATAATAAATATTGTGCCTGTTGGTTTAATTAATACCTATTAGAAACAAAATTTAGAGGATTCACTTTACCAGTTTTTGTGAACAAAAATGTGAGATTATATATGATTCATTTGAATGTTATAGTGATATGCCCAAAAAGGTAATTTCAGTTTCATAGCCTTTAGGGATCAGTTAGTTGTTCCTTATTAATATAAGTTAATGGATTCTTAAATCATCCTTTACATTTCAGAATGAAAATCTAATGAAAAATATCAGACTTTTGATGATTCTCAAAATTCGAGTTGTAGTTTTTATTTTGTTCTTATAATAATCCAGAGTGATTTAAGATGCCCCAAAGCTCAACTCTGCTAGAAATAATGCCTAAAACATAAAAATTTTTAAATGGCAGATCATTATAGTATTCTTTGGCAAAAGCATCTGACAAAATAGAATTGTAAAACTGAACCCTGAAGTAACATGTCAAACATCCGTATCAAACAACATAGTAAGCAGAAGAGCTAGTTAAAGAACATGATATACAAAAGTCAGGGACAAGATTCAGTAAACACACACCTAACTCACACTGTGGGCTTCGCTGGCGGCTCAGATGGTGAAGAATCTGCCTGCAATGCGGGTGACCTGGGTTCTATCCCTGGGTTGGGAAGATACCCTGGAGAAGGGAATGGTTAACCATTCCAGTATTCTGGTCTGGAGGATTCCATGGACAGAGGAGCTTGGCAGGCTACAGTCCACGGGATCACAAAGAGCTGGATACGACTGAGTGACATTCATTCACTTTTCACATTGAACTTACACATTCAAGGTTCCCATTTGCCATTGTATTCCTCTTTTTTAAGGGTTTGAGTACTCACTGGTAACGTAAGGGTTTGCTCTGTGTTATTCTGAAGGCTGTTACTTCCAACAAACTTAGAGTTACCAGGGGGTGAAGAGTGGGCGGGATAAACTGGAAGATTATGAATGACATATACGTTCTATTACATATAGAGTAGGTAACTAATAAGGACCTACTGTACCATGCAGGGAACTGAGCCCATATGGGAAAAGAATGCAAAAAACAGTGGATATATGTACAACAGAGTCACTTTGCTGCACAACTGAAACTAACATAGTATTCTAAGTCAGCTACACTACGATAATTTAAAAAAAAAAGACCGTTATTTTCAAAATGAAACCATATTAAAACAAAAAAACACTTCCACCTATTCAATTCTCGTTAATGTTATGAAGAAAGTATCTGAGATTATATCTAAACAAAAATTAGTCTTTCTAAGATGTTTATCTGGCATTGACAAAGTCTTTAGATAATGACGTATCCAATATGGTGTTAATAACCTAAAACTTGGATCATCCAAGAAAAAAATGTGAAATGTGTCTATATGGAAAAATGAGCACTGATCTCAAATGTTTATTTCTAATTGGGTTTGGAGCATGGAGGTGTCAGAGGACTATGCAATTACTTGCTCTCCCAGCCCAAAGCGAGTGCTCTGTATACGCCCTAGGAAAGTGCCCAACAGAAGTATATTCACTGAATCCTTATACATATTTTTGAGTTACAAATACTAACTGCCCAGGAAGTAAAAAAGAAAAAAAAAATATTGGCTGAGTGTATATGCCATGAAGTTCTCTAGCATCAATATCCTCACCAGGGTTCCTGGGAATTCTACAATAGGAGGAGCCCAGCTGAGAAAGAACAGTTGTTCTGGGAGTGCCTGGGAGCTGAAGCAATTTGTCAGGGTTCACCAGGCACTTACTCTTCCTAATTCAAACAGTGAATTTTCTGTAGTTGGTTATATTACCCTTGGCAATAGTTCATATTGAAGAATGTGACTATGAACGAAGTACCAATTTTAAAGATAACTCGGTTTAATTTATTTTTTAAATCATTGAAATAGGAACAGCACCTGAGCCAAAACCGACCTACTTTCCTGAAACTGCGTGTAGCTTTTAATAGCCAGTTTCCCCAGTCTTCCTCCTAAAATGATCAGAAGGAGGTCAACTGTTGCTCTGACGCGCCAAGCTTCGGCGATGTCTGTGCACGCGGGGTCGATCCGGGACGCAGACACTTACCGCAGCGAGAAGAAGACGGCGCAGCCGGAGAGGATGACCATGGGCAGCAGGCAGGAACCCAGCACGCTGGCCACGCAGCCGCAGGACACTCCCGCCGAGCTCATCAGGTTCAGCAAGGCGTGAATACCTAGGCAGCCAACGGCGCCCACGCCATACACGTAACCAAACTGGGCTTTTCCTGCCTGAAACAACGGGAAGAAAACAGCCTGGATACACAGTGAACAGCAAGAAGAAATCCGATTGTCAACAAAGCGGAGAATACTTTCGAATCATTCAGCTCAATGCTGTTCATGTCTTTGGAGTATAAGCATCAGGAGACTGGGAGCTCTAAAGAAAACACTGATTATAATATGGATTCAGGTCATGAAAACAATCCCCTCCTCTATACAAGGGATGGCGCAAGCATGCTTATACTCCCAGACTGATATTTTTATTATAGATTGCCTGTTGGGGTACTAGGCGTAGGTGAGGATATATCTTCTTCCCATATTTGTTGAACAATTAAATGAATGAAAAAATTACGATTTAGTCTTGGAGATTTATAAGGCATAATAGTAATATTAGCAAACATCTGTTGCATTTACTATCTTAGGTCCTGTTCTAGAGATTTCACATAAATTAATTTATTTAATCCACACAATATAATGAGTAGGTATCACTGTTGTACCCATTATACACAGGAAGAAACTGCAGAGAGATTATGGGACTTGCCTAAAGTAAAACAATGCTAAGCAGTGATGCTTGGCTTGAACCCAGGCAGCCTGGCTCTACAATTTAGGCCCTTAATTCCTGCAGAAGCTCTAACAAGTGACAACAGAAGGGGACCCAGGTGGCACAGTAGCAAAGAAAGTGAAAGTGAAAGTCGCTCAGTCGTGTCTGACTCTTTGTGACCCCATGGATATACAGTCCATGGAATTCTCCAGGCCAGAATACTGGAGTAGGTAGCCATTCCCTTCTCCAGGGGACCTTCCCAACCCAGGAATAGATCCCAGGTCTCCTGCATTGTAGGCAGATTCTTTGACAGCTGTGCCACAAATCCATCTTTCAACGCAGGAGATGTAGGACGCATGAGTCCGATCTCTGGGTCAGAGAGATTCCCTGAAGGAGGAAATGGCAACCCACTTATTATACTGGCAACCCAGTATTCTTGCCGGGAAAATCCCATGGACAGAGGAGCCTGGCTGGATACAGTCCGTGGCGTCCCAAAGAGGTGGACACAACTGAGAATGCACACACATGCAAGCTAGCATATCCCAAACTTATGTGACAGAGAATCCTATGTTTTCATAATGCCTATTACCAGCTTAACTAAACAGACTTGATGAAAAACTGATTTACATAAAGCAAGCAATAGTGAATCATAAAGGTATTGTTAAAGGAAGTCAGACTGAACTATTCAGGATAGACCATTGATCTGAACATTCATCAGATAGCCATCACCCACACGATACTGGAGACTTGTTGCTGAAGCAGCTCCATTAAATTCATCCAGGGAAAGTCACAAATTATTGTTGATTCAACAGAAGATATTTTAATGTTTGCTATCTGAGGATGCCAAATCTCCAGTAAAAAATGCATGTTATTTTTATATATACATTAAGCTGGTTAGAAATTCTAGATAAAGATTGAAGAGGCTGACTCTGATTTTCATGGAAATTATACAAAACTAACAAAATTAATTCACAGAGAGAGAGCTTTTTAGCTGTCATTTTTTTCTTTTCCATAGCTGTTATTCATGAAGTCCTTATGTCTTACAGAATAAAGAGATATTTATTTTGTAGTCAATTAGTGGAGAATATCATGACCATTTTATTGTTCGAAACTGTCAAACTATTTTGAATTTTTCTTCCTCTGCAGTTAGGGAAGTTGATCACTACTAAGTTCTTTCACAAAATGTCCCTGGGCTATGCTGCAGAATTCTCTCCTGCATTAGCCGTAATAAGTCCTTCTGGCTATTTTGTGAAGTAATGCTGATAATGCTAATGGGTATGCTAAAAGAAACACATCAGTTATGTACTGCACTATTGGGTGAGCTTGTTCCACTTGGAAAATAGTGACAGTTTCAAATAACTTTCATGATTAGAGAAACATTTTACTTGACATTTAATTGGATGGGATAATTCAGAGGTACAAATAGTTGTAATGGTAATACACAACTTCCCTACAATCAAAGGACACATAGCTGGCCTGTGACCCCTAACCAGTTTTGTGAATGGGGTAAACAGAGGGTGGATTAAATTAATTTGGTAGTAAAATTGTCCTTTTGCATATCAGTTACTGACTTCTCTCTTTATCTCTTTCTCTTGTTAGATTATCCAGTTTGAGGCTTAATTCCATTTGGCAGGGGCCATTCTCATATTTTAATGTGTTTCAAATTCTAATAAGGATTTGTAATTGAAGTGGAAAATAAATGTTCAATTTCTTTTTACATTTCAAAGTTTTAAGATCATCCTTGTACCATTACTACATCTTTATTTGAAATACTTCTTATTCTTGATTATGCTTTTATATTGGCCATGCACGTCCCTTTTCCAGATCACACTTTTAGCTCTACTAGAAAAATTAAATGGAGCCATAGTTTTAAAACACTTGTGTTTATGGTTTGGGGGTTGAAAATAATTTTAAGAGGAAGAATAAGTAAAATGAAATCTGTGTTGAGTGTTTGAAAGAAGTTCTTTCTGGTTTGCTTCCTGCAACATGAAGAAAGTCCACTAAAAGATATTGTGCTTTATATCAACATAAATCATAAAAATGATGAGTATGTGACTATGAACATTACACCTCTGGAGATAATGAGCAGATTTGAATATTGTTTCTGGATTTAGTCTTGCTTTCTTTAGTATAGTGCACTACCAGCTCATAAAATCATCTTTTACATTTTAATTTCAGATATCCAGGACAGGGTTAACAGCCTCAAATGGACTCTGAGTTAAATCTGGCTTTATTAATATCCAGCTGAATTTTTCAGTCCTTATTGTTCTACATGTATCAGAATCAAATCTGGAGTAACCGCATGTGATGGTAAAGTTGAAGTGAAAATAGCTGCCTAAATCTTTAAGAAAATATGAATTTTTACACATTTCCCCAAATTTCAGAACTGAAATGAACCTTAAGAATCACTTGTATAAGCCGTTTTTTTTTTTTTTTTTTTTTTTTGTCTTCAAAGTGAAAAAAATGAAGGCCTAGAAATAAGAAATAAAAGGTTCAGGATCTTATATGGAGGCAAAGTTAGGGGCAGATCCAAATTTTTCACTCTCAGTTGAGTTCTTTGTTTGTATTGTTTTACACCTAAAATATTTAAATAATTCCAACTAACATTATGTGCCCAAAAAATATCTTAATGGGATTAATTTTTTCCTTTAGGAGATGGTAACTGTAATATTTTCTAAGAAAAAAAAAAACAGCTGTTATAATACAAATTACCTGATAAAGAAATAAGAGTTAACATGTTAAATTAATTGTTTCTCACTATTTGATTAATTTACATGGTCTTACTGGTGGCTCAGATGGTAAAGTGTCTGCCCACAATGCAGGAGACCCGGGTTCGATCCCTGGGTTGGGAAGATCCCCTGGAGAAGGAAATGGCAACCCACTCTGATACTCTTGCCTGGAAAATCCCATGGACGGAGGAGAATGTAGGCTACAGTCCCTGGTAGGCTACAGTCCATGGGTTCGCAAAGAGCCGGACACGACTGAGCAATTTCACTTTCACTTTCACTTCACTTGCAACTTAATCTAATATTATCTATTTACTGTGGCAAAGACAGAAGGAACGTTTGAAACTAAATTAAAACTCTAGTTGATATAGTGTTATACTTGCAGAGTATTTGCATTTGCTGTAGTTCAAAGGAAGAAATAAGATGCCATAACTAGGTACTATTATATTGGATAAACATGACATACTTATTGACCAAGTTACAATGCAGAAACTGGATTTCTATCAGAATTTTGATTAGTATTATGTAATTAGTAATGCAAAGGGAAAAGTAACTTAGTTGCAAATACATTTCATAGCTTCTTTTGAGAAGTATAGCTACACCAGGGGAGTGGATAGCTGTAAGAAACGGAAGTGAACTGAATAATTAATTCAAGGACTTTTCCTAGCATCTTAAATTTTCTATATCGTCTCTCTTGCCAAGTTTACCACTTTGTGCCTTAATGAAAAGTACTTGTCAGACTGGCCTAACCATCTTTTTCATCCTCTGCTTTTAATGTACTGTCATTACCACCTTAATGTGAAATCATAGACCTTCCCTATTTCTTCTTTTTCTCTCCTTTTTTAAGGGGGAGAAAACGTTTTTCTAAAGTATGAGCTAGAATGTCTTCTAAACTTTACTTAGGAGGAAAAATGTTCTTTTTTGGTGACTCCTAATGTCATTGCTCCCATATTTAAAGAATGAGACCCAAACACAAGACAAATGGTGAAGTCAGTGGGGGAAATGCCTTCATAAAAAACAGAAAACTAAAATGACGGGGGAAATATACAGGTCGAAAAAACAAATCACTGCTTATCATTGCAAGTCTGTGTATTCATAGTAGCCTAACCAGGAACAAGGAGACTCATCTCAGACCTCACAGAATATCTGCAATAGTCTGGAGACACAACCCAGAAAAGAAAATAATGAGTAAATATGGGATATTTGTCTAGTCTTATGACAGAAATCACACAGAAAGCAAGAAATAAAATTTCGGCCCTATTATTTCCAAATTTCACATGTTCCTTCAATTTTTTCAGATTGATAGTCTTTTCTAAACAACAGAAAAAGGCTTAACAATAAGAAAATCATTTATATAATTTCCTGCTTTGTTGAAAATCTGACTTGGTGATTTGATTTTCAAAATTCTATTTAAATTTACTTTTTAAAAATTTGTTGTAAGAAGTGATGACAGTTTCTTTTTGCCATTATGGTTCAAGTAAATATGTCTCTCTTACCAAAAAAATGTAGTCATGAATTAAACAAACAATTTTCAGTTTATAAAGTGATATACTTCTTTCTGTATTTACAAAGACTACTTCAAAAAAATGACATTTGGAAGGGCATACATTAAAATCTGATACTTGGCTGTTGTGTATACATAAGTAGAAATACGGTATTGTAAACATGAAACTCAGATTATGTTGTAAACCAATGTTACCTCAATTAAAAAAGAAAAAAATTCTAGAACTCGCTGCTGTTCATTACCAAAAGTAGGGTGGCTCCTAGAGCCATACAGAACAGGACCGGCCCAGTGAGGTCTGTTTCATTCATAATGCTGCCATCTGCTGGCTTCATTGGGTTTAACACTGTCAAGGTTTTTTGCCATATGTGATCAAAATTAATTCCAAGTTCTGCAAAAAAAAAGAAAGAAAGAAAAGGAGATAACATAAATATAGAAAAATAATCACGAATAATATTTTTTAATTAAAGTTAAATCATTGATTTACACAGCAGTTTAGTCTGATTGTTATACCATCATAGTCTAAAGTTCTATGTAATATGTATGATACATAGAAACCTTAAAACAAAAAAAAAGAATGTATATTCCCACACAATGTCCTAGAGGATATATTTTAGAGATATAGTCAAGGAAAAAAATTCATGCCTTCTGCAGCAAATAGATGGTTAAAATATAGCCAAAAGTGAAGAAATGGACATTTTCAGTAAAGATATATAATGGTAGCTAACAAACCAGAAGTCCCATCTTATTGCACATTTAGATATTTCTTTTTCCTGTGTTTTTGACTGCTAACACTTCTGAAAACTTGTTCTATAAAACATGCATCATTTTCAAATCAGTTCAGTTCAGTCGCTCAGTCGTGTCCGACTATTTGAGACCCCATGGACTGCAGCACGCCAGGCTCCTCTGTCCATCACCAACTTGCGGAGCTTGCTCAAACTCATGTTCATCAAATCCGTGATGCCATCCAACCATCTCATCTTCTGTCATCCCCTTCTCCTCCCACCTTCAAACATTCCCAGCATCAGGGACTTTTCAAATGAGTCAGTTCTTCGCATGAGGTGGCCAAAGTATTGGAGCTTCAGCTTCAGCATCAGTCTTTCCAATGAATATTCAGGACTGATTTCCTTTAGGATGGACTGATTGGATGTCCTTGAAGTCCAAAGGACTCTCAAGTCTTCAACACCACAGTTCAAAATGATCAACTCTTGGGTGCTCAGCCTTTTTTATAAAAACTCTCACATCCACATTCAACTCTCACATCCACACATGACCACTGGAAAAACCATACTTTGACTAGACAGACCTTTGTTGGCAAAGCACTGTCTCTGCTTTTAAATATGTTGTCTATGTTGATCATAGCTTTTTTTCCAAGGAGTAAGCGTCTTTTAATTTCATGGCTGCAGTCACCATCTGCAGTGATTTTGGAGCCCAAGAAAATAAAGTCTGTCAGTGTTTCCATTGTTTCCCCATCTATTTGCCATGAAGTGATGGGACTGGATGCCATTATCTTTGTTTATTGAATATTGAGTTTTAAGCCAGCTTTTTCACTCTCCTCCTTCACTTTCATCAAGAGGCTCTTTAGTTCCTCTTTGCTTTCTGCCATAAGGGTGGTGTCATCTGCATATCTGAGGTTATTGATATTTCTTCTGGCAATCTTGATTCCAGCTTGTGCTTCATCCAGTCCAGCATTTCTCATGATGTACTCTGCATGTAAGTTAAATAAGCAGGGTGACAATATACAGCCTTGACATACTCCTTTCCCAACTTGAAACCAGTCCATTTTTCCATGTCTGGTTCAAACTGTTGCTTCTTGACCTGCATGCAGATTTCTCAAGAGGCAGGTCAGGTGGCCTGGTATTCCCATCTCTTTCAGAATTTTCCACAGTTTGTTGGGATTCCCACAGTCAAAGGCTTTAGCATAGTCAATGAAGCAAAAGTAGGTATTTTTCTGAAATTCTCTTGCTTTTTCAACAATCCAGTGGATGTTGACAATTTGATTTCTGGTTCCTCTGCCTTTTCTAATTCCAGCTTGGACATCTGGAAGTTCCTGGTTCACGTATTGCCGAAGCCTGGCTTGGAGAATTTTGAGCATTTCTTTGCTAGAGTGTGAGATGAGTGCAATTGTGTGGTAGTTTGAGCATCTTTTGGCATTTCCTTTCTTCGGGATTGGAATGAAAACTGACCTTTTCCAGTCCTGTGGCCACTGCTGAGTTTTCCAAATTTGCTGCCATATTGAGTGCAGCACTTTCACAGCATCATCTTTCAGGATTTGAAATAGCTCAACTGGAATTCCATCAGCCCCACTAGCTTTGTTCGTAGTGATGCTTCCTAAGGCCCACTTGCTTCACATTCCAGGATGTGTGGCTCTAGGTGAGTGATCACACCATCATGATTATCTGGGTCTTTAAGATCTTTTTTGCATAGTTCTTCTGTGTGTTCTTGCCACCTCTTCTTAATATCTTCTGCTTCTGTTAGGTCCATACCATTTCAGTCCTTCATTGTGCCCACCTTTGCATGAAATATTCCCTTGGTATCTCTAATTTTCTTCAGGAGTGTCCAGTCTTTCCCATTGCATTGTCTTCCTCAATTTCTTTGCACTGATCACTGAGGAAGGCTTTCTTGTCTCTCCTTCCTATTCTCTGGAACTCTGCATTCATATGGATATATGTTTCCTTTTCTCCTTTGCATTTTGCTTCTCTTTTCTCAGCTAACTGTAAGGTCTCCTCAGACAACCATTTTATCTCTTTGCATTTTTCTTCTTGGGGGTGGTTTTGGTCACCACCTTCTCCACCCATTGTTCTTCAGGTGCTTTATCTATCAGCTCTAATCCCTTGGAAATATCTGTCACTTCCACTGTATGATCATAAGGGATTTGATTTAGGTCACTTGAATGGTCTAGTGGTTTTCCCTACTTCCTTCAATTTAGATCAGAAAGTGGCAATAAGGAGTTCATGATCTGAGCCATAGTCAGCCTCTGGTCTTGTTTTTGCTGACTGTATAGAGCTTCTCCATCTTTGGCTGCATAGTATATAGTCAATCTGATCCCAGTATTGACCTTCTGGTGATGTCCATGTGTAGAGTCTTCTCTTGTGTTGTTGGAAGAAGGTGTGTTTGCTATGACCAGTGCATTCTCTTGTTAAAACTCTATTAGCCTTTGCCCTGCTTCATTCTGCACTCCAAGGCCAAACTTGCCTGTTACTCCAGGTATCTCTTGACTTCCTACTTTTGCATTCCAGTCCCCTACGATGAAAAGGACATCTAATTTTCAACTAGCAGTGTTATTTAATCCGAAGAAACTTAGCTTAGGTCTGGTATTTTACTTCCACTCTTCCTAATGAGCTATGCTATGCTAACTATGTGAAACTCCATGGAAGAGAAAAGGTAATGGTTCTTTCAGCAAGTAACAGCAATCATGGGTGCACACGTATTTTAATCAGGCCAAAGTTCTGTGTTGTTGAGTCTGTATATTCAGAGACTGAATTCTTGAGATAATTAACCTTTCTTTTTTTGAATAGTGATGGTAAAATAAAATAACCAAAATTACTGAAGCCCAGTGTTTGTGAGTCTAAACTCATTTAGAAGTTTCTAATTTTTTTCCAGTGCCTTATTTTCAAAGAATTCTGACTCCCACATTACACACCCCTCTGCTAGATTCTGTTTCTCGTATATATTTTTTCATTAAAGAGAAAAGAAAAACACCCAGACATTTGATATACACTGAATATAGAAATAAATTCCAGCATTACATCAGTTACTTCTTTCACGACTCCGATAAACTTTAAGATGTAGAAAAAAAAAATTTGTAAGGAAGAGGAAGGTAACTTCACTACTTAAGAACCAGTAATTAAGATGATTTCCCTCCTACTATCATTTTAAATTTGAGTAAGAGTGAGGTGGGGGTTAGGAAAAACTGAAGCTAAAGTACTATAAAGTACATACATTTCAGTTGAAAAGAGTGGAAATCTTTTAGCTGAATGATTTTACTGAATTTTGCTGTAAGCCCTGAAAGATTTACATGTGTTGGTCTTTCTGACGTGCACTGAGGCAAGTACTGTTAGTTTATTTCTACTTTGTGCATTAGATGGTTGAAGTTTGGGGAGATGAAGTAAGTTTTCCAAGTCACAAAGCCAGTAATAGGAAGTTTAGGTTCCAACACTGGAGAATCTGCCACAAGAACTCATGCTTTTCAAACAAATAAACAGATAACAGTCCAATTAAAAGGGTAGAGGAATTGAATAGACATTTCTCCAAAGAAGACATCCAAATGGCCAACAGGTACATGAAAACGTGCTCAGCACCATTAATCATCAAGAAAATGCAAATCAAAATCTCAATATCATCTCACACCTGTTAGAATGGCTAACGTGGAAAAGAAGTCAGTGTGGGTGAGGATATGGAGAAAAGGCAACACTTCCATATTGTTGGTGGGGCTGTTAATTGATATAGCCTCTATGGAAAGCACTGTGGGGGTTCCTCAAATATTATAAAAAACAGAACTGCCATATGACCCAGCTATGCCGCTGCTGGGAGTATATATGAAGGAAACAGAAACAGGATATCAGAGTGATACCTGCACCCCCAGTTTGGGAGCAGCACTGTGTGAGCGCTGCTAAGTCACTCCACTCGTATCCGACTCTGTGACCCTGCATACCATCGCTGCCGGCTCCTCTGTCCATGGGATTCTCCAGACGAGGGCGGCTTACTTACAATGAGTGCCGCCTGGGTAGATAGCAGCGTTGGGTACAACAGTGAAAACCACCTTAGTGTCCATTGGTGGATGAATAGAGTTAAAAGCCCTCCACACCATGGAGGGCTTCCCTGGTAGCTCAGCTGGTAAAGAATCCGCCTGCAATGCAGGAGACCCCAGTTCGATTCCTGGGTTGGGAAGATCCCCTGGAGAGGGGATAGGGTGCCCACTCCAGGATTCATGGGCTTCTCTGGTGGTTCAGAGGATAATCTACCTGCAATGTGTGAGACCTGGGTTCGATCCCTGGGTTGGGAAGATCCCCTGGGGGAGGTCATGGCAACCCTCTCTAGTATTCCTGCCTGGAGAATCCCTAGGGACAGAGCTGCCTGGTGGACTACAGTCCATGGGGTCACAAAAGTTTGGACACAACTGAGCAATTAAGTGCATGCACACGCATAGACACACACACACACACACACACACACAAAGGAATACTATTTAGTCATAAAAAATGAGGAAATTCTACCATTTATGACAACATGAATGGACCTTGAGGGCATTTTTCTAAGTGAAATAAACCAGAAATAAAAAGCCAAATACTGCACGGTATCACTTGTATGTGGAGTCTAAAACAATTTAAGTCAAACTTACAGAGCCAGGGTAGAAAAGTGGTTGCCACGGGGTAGGAGAAGTAGGAAGAG